AATTTAAACAAATAATGCAAAAAGATAATTCAAGAACTTTATAGATATAAAAACAGATTATTTATTTAAGTTTTATCTAGATCAGATAATAGATAAAAATTGTATTAATAGTCACACATTTTCATTAGACTACATCATAAATCACTATTTGGACATTACACGTATATCAGCAGTGCTTTGTAATTTTTCACCACCGTCATCACATTGATTGCCGGAAATGCTCTCTTATATAATATTTTAAATACGTATAACTCATAAATTTAAATATTATAAATGGAAATACTTAGATAAATATTATCCTTCAAAATATGAAATACAAACTATGTTTCCAAAAAGCAACATCTTAAAAAATGTTATACAGAAAAAATATATATTAGCCAGAGCGTTTCCAGCAAACAGTGTGATTACAGTGGTGAAAAATTACAAAGCACTGCTGATATACGAGTAATGTCCAAATAGTGATTTATGATGTAGTCTAATGAAAATGTGTGACTATTAATAMAATTTTTATCTATTATCTGATCTAGATAAMACTTAAATAAATAATCTGTTTTTCTATCTATAAAGTTCTTGAATTATCTCTTTGCATTATTTGTTTAAATTTGTTTTATGATATGTTTTATTTTTAATGATTGTAAGACAATACTTGATTTAAAAAATAATGATTCCTAGATCCAAAATTTTTATACAATAAAAAATAGTAAAATATGGAAAATAAATTTTTAATTCTACCAAATATTAAATAGTTTTTAACTAAAAATGCATAGCAAATAATTAATGTATGTATATTACTATAAATTTTGAAAATTCTTCAATAATTTTGTCATCTAGCAATAACGCGTTTACAAATTTTTACATTATTAAATCATTATGTATTTATATTTATATTATAATATTATGTTCACAGTGCCTTGTAGTCATTTTCAACCATTTTAATCACACTGCAAATTACTGGAAATGTTCTGCTTAATATATAAATTTTAAGATTTAATTTTGTTTTTTTGTTTAATTGCAACAGTTTTTATTTAATATTCCAAATCAAAATTGTTTTTAAGTATTTCAATACATAAAAATTGAATTTAGAATGAGTAGTTTATGGGTCATACATATTTAAAATTGTATCATACTTTAATAAATTCATGATTATCATACAATAATTATATCAAATATTATAAGTTATAAGTAGACGAATGGACATAGATTTTGGATGAATAAAATTAAATTTAACCTTGATGGGGGTAAATTACCTAAGTCAACTATGATTTTACGAACTAGATTAATCAGCCAATTGCTTCATTCTGTTTAATGAACTACCAGCTTTAAACCATTCAATTTGTTGTTCGTTGAATGTATGATTTAGTAATATTTCATCACTACTACCATCGCTATGGAATAATACGCATAATAAAGGCTGAAATAATAAAATTTATTACTGTATTAGTGGGATAGTTCAACTAAAAATATATTTATAAAATATGTAGTAGCCTAAAATTTTCAATTTTGACTTTACCTTGCCAGGAGCAAATTGATCAAGTCCGACTATAGACACTCTATCAGTTGGTTGAACTTTATCATAATCTTTGGGGTCAGAAAATGTCAAGGCTAATAGTCCCTGCTTTTTCAAATTTGTTTCATGTATCCTAGCAAAAGACTTGACAATAACTGCACGTCCTCCCAAATGTCGTGGTTCTAAAGCGGCATGTTCTCTGCTACTTCCTTCRCCATAGTTTTCATCACCAAACACAACCCACGAAACATTATTTGCCTTGTACGCTCTTGCTGTATCCGGTACTCCATCCCATTCTCCAGTCTGCTGGTTCATTACTTTATTCATTTCATTATTATCTGAGTTGGTTGCACTAAAATAATGAAAATAACAATTATTTTATTTTATTTTAATAAAAATAAACAGTTATAATAACATATTACGTTAAAAAMAAGTTATTTGAAATATTATCCAAGTGGCCGCGGTATTTCAACCAGGGACCAGCAGCAGAAATGTGATCAGTTGTACATTTTCCTTTCACCTATTAAAAAGGTATAAAATATTATAATATCCTAAGTAAAAAAATATAGAAATTCTAATATGTATTTTATTAAAGTTAAACATACTTTAATCAGTATAATAAGGTCTAGTAAATCTTCCCCGTCCCAAGCTTCAAAAGGTTCCAATAGTTGAAGACGATTGGACTTGGGATTTACTTCCACATTTACAGAYGACCCATCTTCAGGTGGAGCTTGGTATGTATCTTGACCAGGATCAAATCCATTTTGTGGTAGTTCATCACCAAATGGATTASTCAGCTTAAACTCTTTACCTTTAAAAATARWTAAAATTATGCCTATAAATATATAAATATTAACTCGAGAAATTGAAAACTGTTGAATGAAACAATTTGGTATTTTGCATCAATACAATCATAGTAGCTATATAATATCATAAGTTTTTCATTGCGTCAATAACTAATAATATTTAATATTCAACTAACCATCAGCCCCTTTTATTGATTCAATTGTGGGATCAAAGTCTAAACGACCTTCAATGGCTAAAGCAGTTACTAGCTCTGGAGACGTGACAAAGGCGTGAGTTGCTGGATTGGCATCATTTCGCCCAGTGAAGTTTCTATTGTATGAACTCACAATGGTATTCTTTTCACCCATTTTAACATCTTTACGGTCCCATTGACCGATACATGGACCACATGCATTAGCTAATACAGTACCTCCAAAATCTCTCAGTGTTTGTGCCTAAACAATTTTGTAATTTAAATACCTACCAATAAATACTAATTAAATATTTTATTATTTTATACAATTCCATCTCTTTCAATCGTTGCTCTGATTTGTTCAGATCCAGGAGTGACATAAAATGGAATTTTTGATTTACGACCATGATCTAAGGCTTCTTTTGCAATTGTACCACATCTCGCCATATCTTCATAACTTGAATTTGTRCAACTTCCAATCAGACCTGAAATTTAAAAAAAAAACATTATAACAAATATTTTGTAACCAAATATAAAAATAACATTATCATTTATAGTATTTTGATATGATTGCAATATTATATTTACGGATACTTGTATTTTTACTGTCAATAAAATAAATCAAAATAAGAAAGCTAAGATTCATGGATTTAAAATCGTTTAATATAATATTTAACATATACATATAATTATAATAATAGATATTATATTGGGTGTTACATTATGTTACACGTGTAATTAGTACCTATTTTAATTTTTTTATTTACTTAAGGTATAAGAAAATGTAAATTATTAATTAATTTAACTTATTGCAAAAGGTAGTATTTTTTGTACAAATTTTAAACAAAATATTATAATGAGCCATTTTAGTTTTTATACAAAAAAAAAACCCAGATTAAATTGCAATTATCCCTATTAATGTTGCAACTGTTAAAGGCTCATAAATCATCGCGTAAAAATCACAGTTAGATTGTTAGATATCGTGTTATATTCTGAAAGAGAACATTCAYGGAGTTTGAAGGACAATTAAATAATTATTGATTATCAGTTAATTATTATCAGTAATTATCATAGTTATCATCTGCGTTAAAACATAATAAATTATAAAGACAAATCTATTTTCATTTTCAAAATTCAAAAATATTTAATTGAAAAATCTTAGGTTTGAAAATGCACTACAAGATTTCTTGTAATTTGATTTTACTGKCATTTCAAGATCTAATCGATTTGGTTAAATTTTGTTTTATATTCGCCTTTATCTTCCAATATTTGTCATAAATTAAATAAATAAGTAACTAACCAACTTTAATTTCAACAGGCCAATCGTTACTTTTGGTGTTTTTGCCAAGTTTTGAAATAGGATGAGCGAGATCTGGTGTAAAGGGTCCATTGACATGAGGTTCCAATGTTGTCAAATCAAGTTCAATTAACTACATCGTTGAAAATATAACAGCATATTAGCGTTATATTGTATTAGTACAAGGAAAAAGGATTACCTTATCATAATTACAGCCTTTGTCAGGAGTCAACAACGATTCACTATACTTCGCAGCTTCTTCGGAAATATCACTACGTGAGGTAGCTTTTAAGTAATCTGCCATTCGGTGATTATATGGAAATAAACTAGTTGTGGCTCCAATTTCAGCTCCCATATTACAAATGGTGCCCATACCTTGATAAATATGATTAAATTATTATTAAAATATTATAGATACTCTACGTTTTGTTAGGTTCCTGGCAGTTCGTTAAGCCTTAAAAAAATCGAGACGGAAATCCATTTGCGGCGGATAGTAAGTAATAAGTAAATTTTTTTTTTCATATGTGGGACCGATTTTGAGCAGAAATAGTCGAATATGCGTATAATATGATTTTATAAAATAATAAAATAAATAAATATATTACCTAAATCTTCATAAAGTCATMAAAATCAGTCAATTATTTTAGATTAAACAAGATTGTGCGTTGTGCCACAGAATATATGCTTTTTATATTTAGCTGTTATCCGTAGCATCTAATCAAATACTCTTGACACCCTATCGAAACTCAAAATGTGTGTGCAACATTTGTTACAGCTAGATTGGATAAAAACTGTAATTTTGCATATTTTACGTTATAAAGATAGAACCCGACTAATAATATCTGTGTTAAACGAGTAAATATTACAGTATAAATAAAATATATAGGCATACGTATACTGTATAGGTACAGTACTACAGTATAAATATATAATTGTGATAAGTGATCCATAAATACCTACCACTAGTCTTTGGGGACAGTGGGACACTTAGCTCGAAAGCGGRACATGATGTYACCTTATAGTTATAGTATAATTATATGTTATTATGTTTTGTGAGCAGAAACTAAACTGATATGTGAGCAATCCTATTGTGACTTAATTGGGTTGTGAAACTGGGCTACAAATTCTCCCAGAGTTTCTAGGTATCTATTGGTATAACTTTTAAATAGTCCGATAGTTTTTGAGTCTATATATAGAGATCTAAGAAAGAAAATAATTTTCATTTGTATTGTATTTATGGACATTGTTACCAGTGCATGATATGTTATCAACTCCTGGTCCGTGATATTCAATTACAGCWCCGGTTCCTCCTTTGACTGTCAAAATATCTGCCACTTTAAGGATGACATCCTTTGGTGTAGTCCAACCTTTCATTTTTCCAGTCAAATGGACTCCAATAATCTATATTTAGAAATTAAAAGCATAATTTAAAATTATTAGATATTGATTATTATATTGATTACTTTAGGGCACTTCAATTCCCACGGAAAACTTGCCATCACATCAACAGCGTCCGCACCACCTACTCCAATRCACAATCCACCAAGTCCACCACCATTGGGCGTGTGAGAGTCTGTCCCAATCATCAATAATCCGGGAAATGCATAGTTTTCCAGAATTATCTAAACAAAATATTACAATTTATTTTAATAAATAAATGTTATTTTGATATACATATTAAAGSTAATATTTTGTTTTAGTTTGTAATTTACTTGATGAATAATCCCTGAACCAGGGYGCCAAAATCCAACTCCGTACTTAGCACTAGCYGTTTTCAAAWAATTAAATACTTCTTCGTTATCTTTATTAGCTCTCTTTAGGTCCTCTTTTCCACCGATCTGTTGTTAAACAATTTAATAAAAATAATATATCATTTTTAACTGTTGAATAAATTTAACTTACTTGAGCTTCAATTAAATGGTCACAATGAATTGTCGTAGGTACCGCCACTCTTGGTAAACCAGATGACATAAACTGYAGCATAGCCATTTGAGCAGTAGCATCTTGCATTGCCACACGATCGGGCCTTAATTTTAAATAAGATACACCTCGTTCGATTTCTTGTGTAGCCGGGTCTTCCAAATGTGAATAAAGGATTTTTTCAGTCAAACACAACGGTTTTCCTATCCTGTTTTAAAAAAAAATATTGAAAGTTGTTAAATTAAACATAAAATTGTCATATTATATTAATGACACCGTCTCGGTACATAATAATTATTTAATACATTTCTTAATATCGAGAAAGCATGTAACAGTATGTAGTAGACCAAATATTAAGACAGGTACCATAATAGTTATCTATAATATATTCATATTAAAACAAAATATCACCTATATGATTATATCACTTAATTAAATGTATATTAAAATTGTTAATTAATCTAAATGGAACAGTGTAACTAAAATAAGCGCTAGAAAATTATTGTCACGATAATTCATAATTTTGTAGTTAAAATATATAATAGATTCGTAGATCTCCTGATACWGTAAAAATTCTAAAAACAAAACGATCACTATTATATTTATCAATGATTTCTAWAAAATCTCGATAGTAAAAGATATTTATAATGCTTAGAGGTTTTAATTATGTCTTATAGCAGTCGTATTTCGTATTGTAATTAAATTTTCTCGATCCTTATAAGTTCATTAATCTAGAAAAATATATAATCATGTGACTGAAAAAGGTAGGCACAGTAATTATTCAACACTGTCTCGCTTGTTTATTTAATTTATATGAACTGATCAATATTTTTGAATACTATTGTCCCTACCTAATGACCTAACCTTTGAAATGACGCCAATCAAGCCTGTATATGTCCGTACATAGACACTATAAGGTCTACGACCCAATGATAAATGTAATTTAATTGAAAAAAATATTTTCTTATGATACCTATACATTTTCCATATTTTGAAGAAATGCCTATAGAATCTCCTAAGTTACATTATCCAGCCTGCATCTAGTATACGTGGTCCATAATATAGATGCGTTATGAAATTGATATGAGATAGGAATAACTTTATTTTCAATTAAACAATTATACGTACTTTTCTTTCACAATGCCTATGTTTGATTTCATATTTTGGTAGGGCAAAATTTTCTTGTCAAATATACTCATCGTTGGTGCTTTTCTAATGGCGTTCAACGTAGTGGTTTGTGATTTGAAAAACATCGAATTCCAGAAAGATAGTATTCTATTCTGTGGTATTTTATCGAAATGTCTGAAAAACTTCATAATATCACTCTTAAATAAATATTAATCTATAGAGTTTTAAGTTTTCTGAAGACTTTATAGAAATTATGTTCAGAATATAATGATAATATAATAAAGTATATTTAGAAAATAACTAAATTGCAACCGATTTTAAGTATCTATGGTTACAAAATGTATTACAATTTTTAAAATGTAAATATGTTTTATAAACAAATAAAAAGCACAAGGAGATTATATATAATAATCTGAACTAATTTCAAGTAATATAAAAATATTTAATATTTGCATAAAAAATCTGTAGATATCTATTCTACATTATTTTTTTAAAATAAATTACCATCTAATTAATTACAAAAAAAAAAAAAAATTACTATCTAAAAATTATGCAATTATTGAAAATAAAACTTACATAAAACAGATTTAATAAGAAGCGGTTTTATATTCTATAATTGTATACTATTAAGACAATACTTGTTAAAAAAATTAATGATTACTAATTCCAAAATTTTTATGCAATACAAAATGGTGAAATACGTAAAATATATTTTAAATTCTACCAAACATTAAATAGTTATTAACTAAAAATTCATCGTAAATAATAAATGTATGTACATTACTATTAATATTGAAAATTCTTCAATAAATTGTCATAAGTATTTAATAACCGGTAATCCCGCTTTTACAAGATAATTGAGAATAAAATCTTATATTTTATTGGGCATATCCAAAAATATGTCAAATTATAAATAGTATACCTACTTAAGTCAATTAAAACAATAGTTACGGATTATCATTAGARAAATATGATTTTTACAATTTTACATTATTACATTATGTATTTATTTATATTAAAATATGTTCACTCATAACACCTTATATTCCAATACTTTAATCACGCTGATTGCTGGCAATGTTCGGCTTAAAAAATTATTTCAAAATATTTCAAATATTTTTAAGTTATTTATAAACGTTTGAAATTTTCAATTTTTTTCGTTTTTTTTTTTATAAATATCAATTAAATTCATTGGATAGAAAAGCTTCAAAATTGAATACAAGGCTTCTATTATATTATTACAATGGTATTAAAAAAATATTAAAAAYMCATGGTAACTTTTTTATTAAATAMGCATTTAAAAYTTGAAWTTAAACAAAATATGTAAAGRTCACRTAAMTYTTTTTTAAACTACTTATAGCRCYTTTTTATTAATGAATTATTATGTGAGTACTTATAATATTATTTAACAATAGGTGTACTTAAAATTTGCTACTAACATTTGTTTCTAAACCATAAAAAAGTTTAATGACTAAAGCAGGGAGAAGAGGGACAGGGTTTTAATAATGATGAACAAATATATTATAAAGCGGCATGTTCTCTGCTACTWCCTTCACCATTGTTTTCTTCACCTAACACAACCCACACTAAATTATTTGCCTTGTACCACTAACCTGTGGTATGATTAAAGAAAGAATTTTTTTAAATTTATTAATCTTACCTTATTATACCTATATCTAATAATAWTTATAAAAGGATAATTGGTTGAATGATTGGTTCATTTAACATAAGACACTCATTATTTAATGAAGCTTTAAATTTAAAAAGCTTAAAAATTTGTTACAAAACAATATTAATGGAAAATAATATTATTTTTATCATTATAGTTTTTTATTTTTTATTATTTTGAATGAAAATATATTTTTGATTTCATGTACCAAAATTATTGAGATTACAATTTTTATTTAAAAATTGATTAGTTAATTAATTTAATATGATTAACAATTCAGTGAGAAAAACAGTATGTAGATATTGAATGAAAATCAAATTATATGCTATCAGCACCTACACATTTAATAGAAATCTACGTAAAAGTGTCTTACTACACTAAGTGAGGTACTACAGGAATGGTTTAATATTTTTTAAGACTAATATTATTGGCATATATTGACAATAATATGARTTTTATTCGAATAATTTATTTATAATAGCTTAAAAAATAATTTTTACTATATATTTTTATTGACACTTATGTTAATAGCACTTCTAGTCCCAATTGATAGACAGTTCTCACATTCTTAGTAAGATCTAAATTCTAAGATGTAGAATATTTTTAATCATGATTCTCAGGTTAAACTAGGAATGGTGGCTGTTGTTAGTTTTAGATTTGAATGAATCAAATGTTAATGGTTATATTTACAAATAAAATGCAAAATAATACCTATATTGAATATTCCTTAAAAATTTACTTAAAAAATAAATTAAAATATTTCGAAAATTGTGGTTTCAACCCTGGACTCGTGACCCGTACAAAATATGGTAACATGATGGTTGGCGGTTGCTATATTTTTGAACCGCCGTTTAGTGACCAAAGAGCTTGTAGATAAATACCTAACCTCTTTGGACGCCGCGAACACGTTTTACGTAACAAGCAATGATTTGGTGCGCCGCGGGTTCTCATTGCTAAACGCTAGGAAGGACAGGTACTCCCCTCCAGACCATCCCCACTAACATCCGTTCCTATAGTTTCGCCGAGCCAGTGCGTCACATATACATYGACGTCCGCACTCCGCAACCGCCTCGTTCATTTTCATCTCACACGGCGTCGGTGGTGTAGAGCCATAGCCGTTCGGAAGAAAATTCGTCACGAACGCGTTCTTTTCGTTTTGCGGATATAGTTAGCGCCGTCCATCCCGGGAGTCTATCGTCAGCGTTCCGTACACTACACGTCGTCTGCTCAACCGCTCCAACAACCATGTCGAGTAAGTATCTTCTTTCCCCTGTCCTGTCATTTTACATTAGTGTTTGGTATCTAATATTGTCCTTCGACCGGTGACAAGATGTCCGTCGGTCGGTCGGGCGCCCGCATCGCCGCCGTACAACGATAAATTCGTCGTTCCAATAGGCGGCTTCGGCATTGACGGCGCCGCTTCACGRTCATCGCGCGTTCGAGGTCTCAGCCTCGGTCGCGACCGTAACCACGTTTTGTGCGAGATCCGTCACTACGACGCCGCCGCTTGATTACTGACCACACGGGGAGCTCCGTCCTCGTGTACCTAACATTTTTTTTATACATTTCAATACCCGATTGAGATCGACGGGATCCTTTTGATCGGAGTCGTGTTCCGTTCACGTGTTTTACACGCATCGTACGATATTTTTTCTTTTATCACTCGTTCGATGATAACGGGTCAATGGCTTGTGCGTGTGGCGGCGGTCGGTCCGGGGACTTCGCGCCCGTCCCGCGTTCGATGCTCTTCGCAACGTTTTCGATTCGTTACTTGTGCCTTCTAAAAGGGAGTGCCCCCCAAAGTAGCACCAGCTGTGACCGTGTCCAGCGACCGGTCATTGTCGCGCCGCTTAATGTAAATGATTTGCACTTTGCAGTAAACGCGGTGGTGACGAATGTTGGCGGGGGCCAAGCGACCGTTACCTCTTAATCCCCCTACCCCGCCACCCCTCAGCTTCCGGCCTTGTGTCCAGGCAGTCCTTTTTCGTGTTATCTATCAATACATATTTTATTGCATTTTGTTATATCACGATTCACGATAGGTGTTACCTATCTATTTTGTACCTAACGATACCCCTCTAACCTCTTATAATGGTGTAACCAGTGGACTTATTGGTTTTTTCATTTAAGCTACTACTCAGTACTCTTGTTGTTTCCCTCATAGGAATGTTTCATTCGTTCTATGTTGAAATTTTTTCCTTTAAAATAGGTACCTCTACTGGTTAGTGGTTATTTTTTTAATACAAACAGTTATTTGCTGGTCTGAATAGTTACCTCCATCAATAAGATATGTTATTGTTTTCTTCAGTTRCCAACTGAGTGTGTCGAGTACTTGACAGTGTGTAATATACAACCATTACAACCACTCTACTCGGTGAATCTAACATGAGCGAACCTTTCTTGGTTGATATTATTGATTACCTGTYCAGTAAAACTAGTTTTTACAGTTGTGCTTGTACCAATACATTTAACATAGACTTTAAGTTAGTCTTTTTTTTCTGTATTTTTATATATTTTGATTACACATTTGTGTTTAAACATCTTAAGTTTTCTTAACATACCTAAATATCAGTTCTATATTTTCTTAAAKTATTTGGTACCTACTTGTGCTTCAAACAATTAAATTATTTAAATGTTTAAATTTTAATCTAAAATATTTAGGCACTTATAAGTCTGCTTTATACAATTTGTTAATAATTCTATATGTAAACGATGTCGATGTAATGCGAAAGCAGTTCTTGCAGCGTTGTCGATATCACGAAAAAAAAAGGGAAGTAGGTATCTGCTAAATTTATTATCTATTATATTTTAGAAAAAAAGTCTTGAAAGTATGGAATAGTAAATATTTAATCATATTATGAATAAGCTATAAGCAGGGCACTTAATTTCACTAAATTAGTTATTTTTTTTTGTTATCTTGTATTTGTTATTCATAATACCTACCTATAATGTTCATACCTATTGCTTTTTATTATTATAATATGACTTCATAACTTTATAAGTTTTAGTCTACTCCTAAATCCTGGACCATTTTCTCTCTTTTTTTTATAGTTTCCTGTCTTGTAATATGCCATTAATCTATCATTTCTTTCGTGTCCTCTTCATTGATTGTCATTCAATAGTTACTATTCATAGTTTCCTTTATTTCTGCATMTTTTCTTCTTTGCCAACAGTTATCCATAGTATCATATATATATCCACATATTATTTCTAGCACTTTGTTCTTGAAGGTCCTTAGTTTTTGTTCAGCTTGTACTGTAGTGTCAATTAGTGGCGTGGCRAACTTCATTAAGTTATGAGGCACAGTTATATTGTCAGRTTCACCACCCACCCCACTCATCACAAAAATATTAACTATTTTTTTAAGATAAAATATATTTATTCATTTAAATAATAATCTATATAATAATGCTTTTTTTAACACATCAGATGATCTTTGAGCACACTAACCACCCTTCAAACTGAGGCACGTGCCTCAAATATAGTCATTCGTCATGCCACTGGTGTCAATACTTTGTATCCACAAGTAATTGTAGGTTTTATTATTCCTTTGTACAGATGTACTCATATTTGGTAGGTACACCTTAAGAAGAGTTTTGATTTGCATCAAGATACTTTAAAACTCTGGTTTTCTCATACATGTAGTTTTAAATTACTGGGTTTTCTTCACTAATCATTGTTTTCATAACTTAAACTTTTTTTTTCATTTATCACTAGTTCAATTTTTTTTGTTTTGGTTTGTTCATTGGAATTATGTTTTGTCTTACTGTTTCTTTATATTCTCCAAGCATATTTAGATTGTCAAAAAAATCTAGAATGGTCATTACCAATCTTGACCCCATATTTATTTTATTGTATGCTACCTATGTATCAATTTTTTTTGTATTGCAATGTTGAATAGTAGTGATGAAAGTGCTTAACCCTGTTGAAGGCAGTCATCACTTGAATTCTTCTAATGGAGCATTGTTCAGGTTGTCCTCACTATGTAATGTGATCCATTCATATACATTCTTCTATTTACCTATGTTTAATCTGTACATTTACTTATTAAACCATGATTGTATTTATGAGTTAGTCAGTTAGGTATTAAAACTATGGCTTGTAATTCTCGTGCATTCAATGTTTAAGGGGATGCTTACCCGCATGTGATGTTTCTGTCAAAGTATAAAACATTGCAAAAACAGTTTAGCATGGAAAAGAACCACTCAAGCTGTAATCCAAGTTAAGCAGCCAAATTTTCACACTATAAAGAAATATTTAATGTGCAACGTTTTTTAAAAAAATTTTGATATCAGTAACGCGAAAAAAGTTCTTTTTGTTTCAGAATTCATTATTTTTGAGTTTCTCAAACTTGAATTACTTTTTTTTTAGTTTTGATATTGAAAAAATAATAACAATGTTGTACTGTAAATATTCTCTTCTTTATAGTGTAAAAATTTGGTTGCTTAGTTTGGATTACAGCTTAAATTGTTCTTTTCCACGCAAAACAGTTTTTACAATGTTTTACATTTGTATGACGGAGACAACATATTTGGTTGTAGTGTCTTCTTAAGTTTTTTTGATTAATTATACATACTATCTATTATTTAAACTTTAAGAACTTAATATTATGAAAAACATCTTCCTAAAAGCACCAAATAGTACTTTTATTGTCATTTTGGCCGTCAAATGGAAGTAAATTAAGAGGACGTTTCACCCGCATGTGTTGTCTCCGTYTTACAAGTGCGTAACATTGCAAAAACTGTTTTGCGCGGKAAAGAACMGAGAAAGATACAGTTATAACTAAGAAACGAAATTTTCACCAYATAAAAAGGTGAATTTTGTCTGTGCAATATCGTTTTTATTTTTTCGATATCACTTATACAACAAAAATTCTTATTGTTTTATAATACATTAATTTTGCGTTTTT